CCCCCTGGCTAGATCTTAACTGCCAGGTAGGTTCATATGGAAGGAGGTGGTCCTTCAGGTATCCAGGGCCCAAGCCATTTAGGGCTTAATATGTCAAAACAAGCACTTTGAATTGGGCCCGGGCAGCAACTGGTAGCCAATGTAATTTAAACAGAATCGGCTCGATGTGTTCCCTAGCGGCCCCACCACCCACCAGCCGCTCAGCTCGATTCTGGACCAGTTGCAGTCACTGGACCGTCTTCAAAGGCAGCCCCACGTAGAGCGCATTGCAGTAATCTGTGCGAGATGTTACCAGTGTGTGCCGCCCAAAGTAGACTATTTTTCTAGATGGGCGGGGTATAAATCTAATAAAATAAAATAAATTTTAAAAAACTGTCATGAAACTCCGCTTGTCCAGGTAGGGCCATACCTCGTATAATTTCCGCAGCTAAAGGAAGTGGCCCCTGGCCACCAAATCCACCTGGGCTTCCAGAGTTAGACTGGGGTCCAGGAGCACCCCCAGGCTGTGGACCCTGTCCCTTAGGGGGAGTGTAACCCCATTCAGGGCAGGGAAATGGACCTCCAGCCTGTCCAGCAAAACACCCACTAGCAGCACTTCCGTCTTATCTGGATTGAGTTTCAATTTATTAACCCTCATCCAGTCCATTATCAGGTCCAGACACGAGTTCAGTACAGCCGCCCAGAGTGGTAGAATATACCAGATGGGCGGGATATAAATCTAATAAATAATAAAAATAATAAAACTGCCTCACCTGGATTGGTGCAAAACGAGAGGTAGAGCTGAGTGTCGTCAGCATATTGCTGACTCCTTAGCCCAAACCTCCTGATGACCTCTCCCAATGGTTTCAGGTAGATGTTAAACAGCATGGAGGACAGTATCTGTGACAGACAGGTCAGTAACCACTCCTGTCCATCACAATGGAACCCTGATTTAACAACCAATGGGAGAACAGAAGAGGCAGAACTAAGGATATATAAGAGAAATGGAAGACAGTTAAAGATCAGTTAGGGATATGAGTTAGAGTTAGGGATGTCAGTTAGAGAGAAGCAGTTTAGGCAGTTAGGACCAGCCTTGTGTTAAAGAAAAACAGAGAGAGAACAAGATAAGAAATGAATAAATATAGTGGTGCCTTGCTAGACGATGATAATCCGTTCCATTGAAATCGCTGTATAGCTAAATCATGTATAGCGAAAAGCATTTCTCTATTGGAATGCATTGAAACCTGTTTAATGCGTTCCAATGGGGAAGAATCGTCATTGTCTAGCAAAGATCGGCCATAGGAAAGCCGCTTTGCGAACCACCAATCAGCTGTTTAAATCGCTGTCTTGCGAAGCTTAGGTCCCGAAAACACCTGTTTTGTGAGCGTGGAGGGAGCTGTCAAAATCGTTGTCTAGCGAAAATTGGTTTGCGAAGCAGGGACCAAACATTGTCCAGTGAAATTCCCCCATAGGAATCACTGTTTTGCAAATCACTATAGCGATCGCAAAAAGTCAATGTCTAGCGAAAAAACTGTCATGCGGGGTAACTGTCTAGCGAGGCACCACTGTACCTTGATTAACATAATTATACATAAGCAAATATAAATGTTATCAAAGCACAGTTGATTGAATAAATAAGACCATCCATGATTCACTTTACATAATTTACTGATAAACACTTAAACATTGTTTTATTGAATAACACTGATTTAAGAGTCATATTTGATGTATTGAGGAGTGAATCCTCTGGTGGCAGCGGAAAGGGTTGAAAAGTAAATGTCATAATACCCGAAAGGGAACCTGGGTTGTGTGGAAGAACAAACAGGGGAACTGGCGGTGTGCGTCAGTATCAATCCCTGAGGAACCCCATGACATAAACGCCATGGGACAAAGCAACTGTCCCCCAGCACCACCCTCTGGACACGGTCAGCCAGGAAGGAGCAGAACCACCGTAAAGCGGTGCCCCCAACTCCCAACCCAACCAGCCTATCCAGAAGGACACCATAGTCGATGAGAGGTCCAGGAGTATCAACAGGGTCACACTCCCTGTTTCTTTCCCAGCAAAGATAATTCATTGTACAGGGCGACCAAGACAGTATCCGTACCAAAACCTGGCCTGAAACCCGACTGAAATGGATCCAGAAAAACCATTTCATCCAGCAGCGCCTGGAGTTGCCCGGCCACAACGTGCTCCAACACGTTGCCCAAATAAGGGAGGCTCGCCACTGGTCAGTAGTCAACCACCAACCTTGGGTCCAGGTTAGCCTTTTATAAAGGAGTGGCCGGATTACCGTCTCTTTCAAGGCGTTAGGGGCCACTCCCTCTCTTAAGGAGGCATTCATGGCCTCCTAGACCCAGGTGTGAACCCCACCTGGCAGTCCTTGAAGTTGATGATGTTGCAGCTCTATTGTTGACACCATACCTCTAGTCACTACGTCACAAAGCTGCTGCCTACTCTAGAGATGAGGCGATCCGGTTTTGTGACGATTTGCATTCGTCAGCACCGTGACCAAAGCCCCGCAAGGGGAAGCCACTTTTGTGACTTCTTGCGACTATTTTTCCAAAGCAATTTGAGAAAGCGCCCTTCGGCCCATGAAAGCTGATGGCCTTTAAGTCTTTGAACGTCCCACGAGCCTCTTTCGGGGCTTCTTGCTACAAAATGCCCCCGGGCGCTGCATGATGGGGGAGAAACAAAGACCATATTTTCGAAAGGCCATCCCAGCACTTTTCCTCTTCCCCTTCCTTCTCCCCCCCATTCCGATTACAATGGGTATCTCTCGTCCCAGGAGTTGTTTTTTTGTGTGTGTGTGTGTGTGAGAGAAAATTTGCGCCTTTATTTATATGCTCTTTACGACGACTTCGAATAAGCAAGGGAGGGGGAAATGATCCCTTGGGTTGGTATTGATTGCAATCGGGAGGAAAAGAAAAGAGGAAGAAGGATCGTGAGGCGGCACAAGAAAGAGGGCAGGTGGCGGAACACAGGCAAGAGGGCGAGCCTCGGTCCACCTCAGGACCAAGACCTAAAATGGCGGCCGCCGGCGTCGCAGCGGAGCGTGTGGAGGTGGGAGGATAGTGTGTGTCCCCCCACCCCCGCCCTTGGCCGCTCCTCCTCTCACGAAAGGGGGGAAGTGGATTTCCCCGTGTTTTTGCTTTCGTTTTTGACGTAACGGGCAAAGCCGGGGCTCGGAGAGGAGCGCGGCGGCTGCGGCGGCCTTTCCCTCGGGCTTCGGGACGCGGGTTTAACAAACGGCCTCGGCGCGCGCCATTGGACCGCCGCTTGGGGCGCGCGCGAGGGGGGGTAGAGAGAGAGAGAGCGCAGGGGAATTGGACGCCCGCATACCTGGAGCGCTCAGGTGAGTGGCGGTGGGCGGTGCTTGGTGGCGGTTGGGGGGGCTCGGGAGGGGAAGCGAAGGGGGGAGAGGCCAATCGGAGCGCTTCTGGTCCCTCAGTTTCTCGGGGGAAGTGGGGGGGACACGCCATCAATAGAGACACCCCCACCTCCAATTAAACCCCCTATGTAACTAACCCACCTGGCCAGCTTTATTGGGAAGGGGGGGCAGAAGGGAGCTGCTGTACCTGGAGGCAAATGGCTGGCCCGCCACCCCATCCATGGGTGGGAGAACGGCCTTAACCCCGTCCCCTCACCTGGTGGGGAAAACGCCAGCCTCTCCTGCCCTCTGAAGTCGTCCTCGTCGTCTAAAGGATGGCTGCCATGTTCCAGGCCACTTCCCTTCCAAGGTGGATGATGAGTGTGGGGCTGGTGGTTGACAACATGACACGGACACCTCAACACCTCGTCCCTTCTTCTTGGCCTGTGGTGTCTTCAATTTAAAAAAAAAAATTAGCTGGTGATCAAGGAGGGCTGGAGTTGGGGTATAAATGCATTAAAGAAATGTCAGTGAAGTGGCAGAGTGATTATAGGTTAAAAAAAACAAGACTAAATGAACAAATTAAAAAAAGAAAAACAGGGTGGCACCTGGAAGACTAAATATCAAATTTTAATGTGAGCTGTTGCGGACAAGTCCACTTCCTCGGACATAAGAAGACAGAGATAACATGGCAAATATTGTACATGGCATCAGAAGGCAGAGATTTTGGTTGGTTGGTTGGTAGGAAAGTCAGTGGGTATTTAACAGTGGGATGATAGCTGCTTTGATACACAAGTACTGTATATTCCATTGAAACCTGTGCTATATGTTACTGTAATATGCCCAAGTAAAATCTTCCATAGTGGGTCAGTTTCTTATTAATGTAAACCTTAATTAGTTGGGGCTGCAGTCCTATACCCTGTTATTTTGGAGTAAGCACCATGCACCATGTGTCTTATTTCTAATCAGACAGGTGTATCATTGCAGTACTGTATATATTTGTTTCATTTATATCCCACATGGGAACTCCTGTGAATTCAAGCAAGTTTCCTTCACATTTATGGAGGTTATTCATAAAGTCGCCATAAATCATAAACACCTTGATGGAACATGACAACTTCCTCCCATGAGTTTGAGGCAGCAATCTTTCTTATTTTATCCGTTGTGAAGTCTGTTAGGCCGAAGTGGCCTAAAATAACTGTTTCAAGGATCATCAGGGTAGAACCCACAATAAATCAGGGGTTTCCAACAATCCAGGTCTTTTTGGACTGCAACTCTGAGAAACCCCTGCCAGGACAGCTTTAAATGTTAAACTATACCAGCTCTGATCCTTCTTAACAAAAGACTGTTAACTAAAACAAATGAAGTTCTTCTGTCTTTTATTTCCATGCTAATGAGAGTTTAGCATCTGAGGTAAGGTTGCTGGTAAAAGACTTTGTACAGGGCGAAAAGCAAAATTCTACCCCATCTGAACAGCCCTTAATGTATAGTCTTCAGTGGTTGTAGGATCACTTGACGTTGAGTATGTTAGCTGACACTAGGATATCTAAAAGTAGAATTGTTTCTGGAAGATTCCCTTCAGCAGACCAAAAGTCAGTGAGCACAGTCTTCCTTGTCATGGAAATCGGTTATCTTTACCTGTTTGGCCTTCGTCCATTACAAGAATAGCATTGAGGGCCTTTTAAAGTCAATTATAAGAAGTCAATGTAAAACAAGTTCTCTCTAGGGATGCATGATTGGCTAGATGTATTTGACCAACTTAGCAAATCTTAAAAGATGAAATGTGGTGGTCATGTTCCTCTGGTTTTCATATGGAAACATTGATTCTTAATTTTGTCTGTATCTTTAGGAAGAAAGCAGGAAGTCTTTCAAATTAGAAATGTTTTCCTTGTCATGTCTCTATCAAATGTGTATGAACCAAATAGTGAAAGCAAAACTAATCAATCTATTTTACTGCCTCCTACCAAGTAGCAGATGGCAGCAGTTTTAAGATCTTTGCCAGATCTTTTAGCAGCCATAAATTAGTCTCCTCAGTCTTTAAGAGACTCTACATACAGATCTGTTTCATACGGTGTTCAGGTTTTCTTCTTTAATTTATTCTGCTCTTTAAGAGTTTTGGTCTTCTCACACCAGCTGCTTAGGAGTTTTTTTCCTTCCCCCCCATTGGGCTGTTTTTTTCTGTTTTCCTGATCTGGTTCAAAGAGAAATGGCATTGCCAGGCAAGGGGGCTGCAGATTTGGCTGAACATGGGGAAGAGATGGAAGTTAGCCACTGACCTTGCTTATCCATATGGTGACTGAAGGAGAAAGTCTATGGGAAGAAACCAATACTTGCTTTTCTCTGGCTTCCTGCTTGCATCACAAGTCCAGAAATACCAAAATGTTGGCCAGCTTTCGTTAGCTACATCTGCAAAATCTGGCAGCCACGCTGCTTGCACTGGGACCATTGGCAATTACTGAGATGTGAGAAGGACGGTGGAGATGTCAAGGAAATGTAGTGACAGCTGCAGTCCTCAGACCACTTTCCCTGCGTAATGGTGAATTTTGCTATGGGAGAAAAAGTGGTTTAAAGATCTCAGCCTCTGAAGCTTCTGTTCTGCTGTTGCCTGTGCCAGATTTTCCGCTGGGCCTTTAATAGCAGCTTGGTCTGCTGACATTTGCATGTGATCATGTTTTACTATCCTGGTTTGAAAAAGCTTCACTTCATTGTGACTGCCATTAAAGGCGTAATAGCAGCCTGACCTTTTATGCTTGGTGGACCCTCCCACCATAAATCCCAGCTGAGTTAGAACTTTTCCTAAGGTTTACAGTGCTCCCCATGCAATCATCATCATCATCATTGTCTTAGAACTGCAGTGCTGGAATGGACCCTATGGGTTTTTGAGTCCAGCCCCTGTCAAGGAAACACAGTGGAGAATTACACTTCTGATTTATTTTTCTGAGATAAATTAATTTACTGTCTTAGGCATAAAGGTGTGTTTGAGCCAGAATCCAATGTTTTGAGTATTCCTCTCCAACTTGAATTAGGCTATTTCAGTGGTTGATGGCATATGATTTTAACATTGTCAGTGGCTTTGTATAAAATTTGGTTTACAGGAAGAAAACAACTATATGAGCAAATAAAAACATCACAATAAATCTTAAACAAACATTGGTTCTAAATTTATGGGGTGCTTGCTGTTCAGTTCATTTGAATGCTTTTATTTCTTTCCTGCTTGTATAATCTTTTTTTAAACAACTTCCCATTTCATTTTTATTTAAAATATGCATTGTTGACAGCTTGAAACTTAAATAGACAGGCTGAATCCAAACTTATGCTTGATGGATATCAGAAATGTAGGCATTGTACTTGAATAATGTTGCAAGAATAAGACGGAAAAAGATGAACCAAGTTGTATTATTTTGCTTCTTGTTGTTTCCCACTAGTGATAAGGGGTTCTGGAGACATTTAATTTTAGTGAGATAAATGTGTAACTTCCTTTTCACAAGAAAAAGAACAAATGTTTTGTTGGATTTTTATTTCACTGTGAACTTTCATGGATTACAAAATTCTTGAAGCAACGGACTGTAATCTAACTTTTATCTTACTGGTATTCATGCGAGATTAATTATACCTCAGTTTGTAGCAAAAGCTATTGTACAAAACTGTCTAGAATTGCTGGAGCCCCGTTCTCACCCCCTCGACCGGCTCTGCTTCAGGAAGATTTTCCGTATTTTAAAAAACAGTTCCATTCCACCTTTTAAAAAATAAGTGGCTATGGATTTAAATCTAATTGTAGCATAACGCTTAGAATGCTTCAAAGGAAATTAAATTGCCAGCATCTTTGTTGTTGTTAATGTGCCACCAGGCCTGCCGAGAAGGAGTGACCTCATAAAAGGCCCATAGTCAGCAGCCTGACTCAGAGGTTGCAAACTTAAGACTGTGGCTTTCTTTGTGGAGTCATCTCATTGTTTATTTGGGCTTCCTCTCTTCCTGTTGCCTTCAAGTTTTCCCAACATTATTGTCTTTTTTTAATGAGTCTTCTCATTATGTGTCCAAAGTACAATAGCCTGAGTTTAGTAATGTTTGTTTCTAGGGAGAGTTCAGACTCAATTTAACGTAGAACCTGCTTACGTGTCTTTCTGTTCAAGCTATACAAAAGTCATTGTTGCATCTAATAATACCAGTATTGCATAAATTAAAATCAGTTGTATAGCAGTTGGATTTTTCTTTGGTAGCCTTGCATTTCTGAAACTAACTTAAACCAAGTCAGACTATTGGTCCATCTAGCTTAGTGTTGTCTATACTGAGAGACAATACCAAGATTGTATTGAGTCTTCTCCAACCCTAGCTGGAATGCTAGGAACTGAAACTAAGTGTTCCTAGCATTCCAGGTGGGGTGGAACATGTGTTATACGCAGGAGGACTTAGATTCAGTTCCAAGTCCTCCTGCGTACAATACATGTACTTTCCCACTAAGCTATAGTTTTCCTCTGTTGCATTGTTTTCAGTATGAAAAAGGTGCCTCTTTAATCAGTGTGATCCTACTGGGATCTGAAAAAGTGGAGCATGTATTTTGATTGAGTTGAGGACAAGATTACGAAAGTAGTTGGCACATAGAGTAAGCATTTTAATTTCTTTTCCTCTGTGTAAGGATGGCGAAGGACAAATACCTTGCAGCAAAACTGAAAAACTATTTGCGCGAAGACAAAATCCAGCTATGGAAGCCTCCATATACCAAAGGCAACAAAGAGCCTGGTGAAGAATTGAAAGTAAGTGCCCTCTGACTGCCATATTGTGGCTGTATGACTGCTTCATGCATATTTACTTGCTTTCATATTCTTAACAAATGCATCTTTATTGTCCTAGGCGCTTGCATTGAAGTATTCAGCCAAGCTAAATTATAATGACAATGAAATAGAGGCCCTTCTGGAAGAAATACGCTGCAGAGCAGTAGAGCGGGGAGCAGGAAATGAAGCTTATAAGACTACAGGAGTGGCAACGCTTGAAGTCGCCTTGCCGAAACGGATGGGTAAAGTAAGCATTGTTAAAAAATAATCTGCAAAATCGTGTATAAGATGTGCAGTAATGGCTGTAGATGTGGGAATGAATGAAAATATTTGTGTACTAAACAGGCAGGTGGGCTGGTTGGAAATGGTCTTCCATTTATTATACGTAAAGGCGGGTTGGGCAAAGATCCACTGGAGACGACTTCCCTCTTTATCTTAACTCAAAGGAGGTAAGGTCACAATTAAGAAAAATGTGTACCTCCTACTTAACGCTTCTGTGCTTGTAAAAAAAAACGGTGTTAATTTGAAATCGGGTCAAATAGCGCCACTCTTAATCCTCACTTGGAATCAAAATAATCCAAAGTATTCAGTGATTTTAGTGTAATGTACACAGTGCTATGAGTTTAGATTTTATGGCGTCTCAGAGACTCCTGCTAGCCTATTTAGTCTCTTTTATAGGGCTAAAGAATTAATTGATTTATTTGCGAAGGCTTTCACGGCTGGGATCTAATGGTTGTTGTGGGTTTTTCGGGCTCTTTGGCCGTGTTCTGAAGGCTGTTTTTCCTGACGTTTTGCCAGTCTCCGTGGCCGGCATCTTCAGCACCACAGAGTGCTGTCCTCTGAAGATGCCAGCCACAGAGATTGGCAAAGCGGTAGGACGAACAACCTTCAGAACATAGCCAAAGAGCCCGAAAAACCCACAACAATCAATTAATTGATTTCTCTTCAAGTTTTAACATTAGTGGAACTGTAGCCAAAAAAATCCCACAGCCAGTACTGAGTGATTAACAGCTGCTTAGCCTAACTGCTTCATTGACATGAAGTAGGTATTATATTAAGGTAAGAGTTTTCCCCATGTTTAAAATGGATTAGATGAAATATTTTTAACAAGCAGCGTTTATTTTCTCTCTGTTCACCTTAAGGAAGGTCTGAATGACATCCATGTCATTTTTGGGGGGGGCAAGTTCCATATTTTTAAAGTACAGTGGATATGGGTGGGACAGAACTAAGACCCTTCAGCCTGTCTTTGGAACCCTACATGAAGTTCCATGGGTTGATTGCATTGACAGGTACTACAAATTTTCATACCCCTTTGGGGGTTAGTTACAACTCCAGTGTTGTGTCAGCATTAAGAAATAATGGTGAAACTGCATAATACCTGTTATTAATGGTGTCACCTTGAGGTACATAAGTAATTTTGAGATAGTAGTTAATGAATGGTGACCTTCTCAGAACTGCTTCGCTAGCAGTGTTTCCAGATAAATACTGTAGACTTCCCCTCTTCCCTTTCTCCAAGTACATCATTAAGGGCTGGTTTACACATCCCTGGTTTCCCCACAGTGCCTTTAGGGACAAAATACATTGTGGAAAATGTTGTGTGTGACTCAGCATATCCACAGTCAGCTCTCCGGAAGTGAGACTTACGATTTTAGCAGCTGAAAAATGTGTTGCTGTCATGACAAAAATCACTCTCTGAGGAACATTGTAAGTGGTCTTTCCTGGAGGTGAACCGGGAATCAGAGAGACCTGTCGTCTTCCTCTTTCCAGCTGCAGCAGCAGAAATAGGGTACAGCCTGTCTCATTATAACTGTATTGCAAGTTTGGTGACATGTAGAGACCAACGACGGCGGCTGCTGGTGTCTTTCCATTGAGTTTCTTCTTTTGTAGATGGAGAGAAGCTAAGGCTGGCAGCTAATAAATGTTCCCACTAAAAATAAATTGCACTTGGCAACGCAGCGTGCAGTTGATATACCGTTCTCTTGCAGCTGCAAATCTGAAGCTGTGTCTTGTCTGAAAAGTGAACATCATCCCTTTAAGAAGTGGTACATTTAGGATCGCACGTTGGCAAAATAGTTCTTAATGGCCGTTTTAACTTGTGGAATAAAAAGGCATGCACAGCAACATCTAAAGCACTTGCCTGATGCTGGGAAATTAACAGTACTGCCAGATAGCTTTAGGCAGCCCTAAAATCCTGTAATGAATTGTTTTACTGTCCTGCTGGAGGGATAAAAGTCCTCAAACAACCTTCAGATGAAGTGTAAAGCAGCAACAGGTAACGTTGCTCTACCATCCCCCACTCTCTTTCTGTACCAAGCCTCTTGCGGGACAGATCCTTCTGCTCGGTCCTCGGTACCATTTCTACTGCACAGGGGTGCATGGGTTAGAGGAGAGGCCATAAAAACAAGGCAACTAAACTGGCGTACCTTCATACTGCTTTCTGTTCCTAAAGCCAGTACAGCTTCCACCGTCAGTCAGGTTTCTCTGGGTTGTTTATTGTTCCGTTGATTTCCTTGGGGTCACATTTCATTTCATGCACCTTCTGATTTAATGTGAGGAATTTCTAGAAGACCGAAACTGATTCACGTGCCGTTGGATGCAACTTTTTTTCTCTCCTTTTCTCCTCTTCCTGCACACCATGCTGATATTGTATCAGTAATCAGGTAGATTGATAAATCGCAGCATTATAAAGGATTCAAGGTTCAGTTTTGCTATATGTTTATCAGTGTGGACAAGCACTCGTGTGAAGTGGTAAGACAGAGGAGGAAAGACATGAGAATGTACAGAAGAAATTAAAGCTGCAGCAAGCCAGATGTGTACAAAATCTCGAAATTAAAGTGGATTAATGCTGTAGTCTTAAGATATCAATGGTTCTTTGCACACAAGGCCTAGTGGTTCAAAAACTCAACACCCAGAGCAAAATTCAGATTGTGAAGTGATCCTCAGATGCCTCATAGCTCTCCTTAAATAAACCACAGTTTGCTGTAAACCAGTGTTTATATCTCTGTATCTTGCAGATGAGAAAAAATCTCCTGGAGACAAAACTGGTCATAACAGGCAAGGAGCTCAGATCTCAGTAAGTAACTGGTGTTTGCCTTCTTTTATTGTTCTTGACTTGCATTGTTCATTGGTTCTTCCATATACAGTGGGGTCTTGACTTGAGAACTTAATCCGTATTGGAAGGCGGTTCTCAAGTCAAAAAGTCTGTAAGTCAAGCCGTCTGTAAGTCAAGGGTCCACTGTAGTTCTTTTTATGATTGTGTTCTATTCTAGTCAGACATATTTGTAGCCATAATTCAGTTCATCACATGAGCCAAACACTACAGTGGTGCCTCGCTTAACGAGCGCACCGTTTAACGAAGAATCCGCATAGCGACCCTTTTTTTTGGGTCGCTAATGCAACCGCATTGCGATGTTTAGATAGGCTAAACATCGCATTGCGATCATTTCCCCACCCGGTGGCCATTTTGGGAACAGCTGATCGGCGGTTCCAAAATGGCCGCCGGGTGAAGAAAATGGCCGCCCGCACCATTTTCGCGCCCTGTCCTCGCTTACTGAGGGTGCGAAAATGGCGACGCTATGGAGAAACTTCGCAGAACGGTGGGTTTAAGAGCCATAGGAACGCATTAAACTAAGTTTAATGCGTTTCTATGGCATTTTCCGTTCCGTATAGCGATGTTTCCCCATAGCGATGTTTCCCCATCCGTTCCGGATTAACCATCGCTATGCGGGGCACCACTGTATAGTGATATTGACATCTGTATGTTGCAACTATTTAAAGGATCAGATGCTAATATCTTTTTCCTTGAAGGCATATTGGTGAATTCATTGTGGCTGACTTGCAAGTAAAAATACAGTGGCTAAAATTCTGATGCTTAGCATGCTAAATTGCATGAGTAGGTCTATTTATTTATTTTACTTACTTACATTTCTATCCTGCCCGATTAGTAGCTAGGGTACTACTCTGGATGGCCCATTGCATCAGTGAAGATTTGATGAGCCAACTTCTCTGTAAGTTCCATTGATTCAAATAGGCTTACTCTACTTGCAGCCTACTATACTAAAGTGAATCCTAACTAGAGTAGGCCCACATGAACCAATGGAACCTGTGGAGGAGTTGACTCACCAAATCCCCATTTATTGAATGGACTTCCTTTAGTTCAATTTACCACACTAAGTAACAGGATTTCAGCCACTGCATTAAAGCCTTGTGGTAATTATCAAGCGAGACGAGAAATGACCTTGTCTGTTCTATTGCTTTTGTGCCATTTTTGGCTTATATAGTTGATGTTTTGTGAATTATAGTTCAAAAGAGGCTTTTGCTTCTCTTTATTTATTTATTAAATTTATACCCTGCCTATCTAGACCAAAGTCTATTCTAGGCGGCTAACAATAATAAATAAAAGTAAAAACAATATAATTGTTCTGTCTCTCCAAGCCTCCCTCGGCGTTAGGCCCCTCAACCGCCCTTCCTGGCTAGAACGTGTGATTTGGGTAGATCTAGGTGGGAGGAGGCGTTCCGCTAGCTATTGAGATCCTAAACCGTTTAGGGCTGTATATGTCATCATTAACACTTTGAAATCACTGTGGAAATCAACGGGCAGCCCATGCAAGGCAGCCAGAGTGGGGGAAATATGCTGGTATTTTCTCACCCCAGTAAGAAGTCTGGCCGCCGCATTCTGCACCATTCGCGTATTCATGTACCCAGTTTGTAAACCGTGGTGTTTTCTGCATCATGGGTTTTGTAATGACAATGTTCTATTATGAATTAAAAATAATTCTGAGAGATGTAATAATTCATTCTAAAAATATGCACAGCATGCTTTTAACACAAAATATTGGTTAATGTTGGTCACTTTGCTTCACAGGATAGCGCAAACATATGGATTTGAAGAAAGCTGCATCAAAATAATTGCAAATAAGAAGCAACTTGACCTGGGTATGTATGCTGGATCGCAAAACATCCGCTGAACATATAGGCTCAGGCCTCAGATCAGATCTATGCCTCGTTTCTTAGGAATGTGCCTCACAAAGCATTTTTCCCCAGAATTTCTCCAAACCGTTTTGATGCGTTCATTCTCTCCCCTTCACAGGAAAGACGTTAGAGGAACAGGGTGTAGCGCATAACGCCAAAGTCATGGTGCTTGAGCTGAAGTTCAGCGAGGAGGAAGTCAAGAGACGGGTCCATGAAGAGGAAAGGCAATGTGAAGAGGAGACAAGGGAGAAGGAAGAAATGAGCCAGAGGATTCGGAGAACGAAAAAGGGCATAGAAATTCTTGCCAATAGACGTAAGAAGCTATGTATTTAAATCCTGATTTTAGGAGTACCGCTGGAAATGCCGAATAAATAAGAAGCAACAAGGCAAAGAGGCTGATTTTGTCCCATTCTTTCATCATGCTATGAGGCCAAGGTAGACTGCATCAGGAGCAGCTGCAGTCAAACTTTTTTTTTAACCAACAGTATAAGCTCAACTTATAAAACCGGTAAAGACACATCACAGGGCTCAGGATGTGGGGAAGTGATATTGAAGATTTTATTGGTGAGAGCAGGTTAGCTCTGGAGGGGAAAGAAACACTTACTTACACCTGCTCCACTTGCACAGAGAGGTGGTAGAAGCTGTTGCATAGGCATGGTGCCTGACATACGTTTAAAGGATGAGTCCGCAAGCAATTCAACCACACCTCTCGGGGATGATCATCACCAAAATGGACCCAAAGCCTTCAAAGTCCCAGCCCTGATCTAGGGACACCTTTTGAGTCACTTGCCTCTCTCAAGGAAAGCTTTTCTATACCTTTTAAAGACCATCCTGGGCTAGAACATGTCTGGCATCCTTCTCTCCTCTTCCTCCTCTGAAAAGTGAATGGCTTAGGTGGGAGATGGGAAGGAGTCCGTCTACAACCTCTACCTCCTAAATTCTACTACCTTCATCGGAGGGATGGGATGGATCAGGTGGGGGTGAAGAGCCAGTGGAGCCAGTTGCACGGGGAGAGCCATTGGTCTGGTTTCCCAGATCTTTCTGTACTTTGATAGGGTATCATTAAGTGGATATAAATTTAAGTTCCAGATGAGCTTGCTTCTCTATTTGTTTCTACTAGTTGAACGTAATTTAAACTGATTTACCCTCCCACTGCCCAAAAAAACCAGTTGGCTTATTCAGTTTATGTCTAACTTATTGTTGAATTCTGAATTATAAATCCTTGATTTATTTACTGCTGGTGCAGAAAGTCTTGTATATAAACAGAGAACAAGCCAGTGAAGGAGGCCCGTGTATTTTAAGATGTAATTGATTTATTACATAGGCTCATGATTTGAATTTCCACTGGTGCCTCAGTGGTGGTCTTCCTGTTTTTCATTCTGCTTTGCATGTTATAGAGGAAATGTTGGATACAGACAGGAGACCTTATTTAGACATAGCAAACCAAACTGGAAGACCCATCAAGATTCCTCAAGAACCCAAAAAAGTGAGTATGGGGAATTTGTGTTCACCCCACCCAAACCGCCACACTTTCTTCTCATTGCAGTTTAACGGCAATGTTTACTATTGGCAAAAATTCTCTCCCACCCCTAGGCTCTTATGTTAGCTATGGGACATCATGAAAAAGGCCGAGCGTTGTTAAAAAAGAAAGAGTATGCAGTGGCTTTGCCGTTCCTGTTGGATGCAGATAAACACTTCTGGTAAGAATCTTTTTTTTCCCCGCCTCCTGACTTCTGATCCTGTTCTTGTAACCCCTGTTGCCATTCTGTAGGGCTACTGCTGGTGCCAGTAGAATAGCTGTGGTAATCAGGGTGGGCTCAGCTCTGGGCGGGGAGAGAAGACATGGTAGAAATTCATAGAACCCTCTGATGCCGCCGTCGGTGGCGTTGCCAATTTTCCTGCCGCCCACTTGTCCACAGACGTTTCAGAGTCAGTGGCCTCTTGCCACCCAAAAATAGAGAGACCTAGACCATCGTAGCTGATCTGAGGTGTGGCTATGACAGAGCCACACCCCCTCATTATGTACAACATATCCCATTGTTCCACAATGCTCCTGCCGTATATATGCCAGTAATGTAAATTGCTATCACAGAGCTTGCGAGAAACCCCAGGTGGCCATACAGGAATCCTACAAACCAAAATTACACTGCATGAAAGAACCCTACCCTCAGGACTCCGGCCAGTCTCCACCAGGTGACTCAGGATTGATCCCTAACCCCGACCCCTCTGTGCCACTTTACTTGGTAGCTATTGTCAAGCTTATTCCCCTTGAAGGGAAATAATGTCTTCCTTTCGCTGCATGTTTTCTGTCAGATCACGGAAAATCTTTCAAGGGCATCACAGAACATAATTGTCTTGTTGCTTTTCAGTCAATGTGGTTCGGAGCTCCTGTCCATGGTTGATAATTATGGCGTGCTGCAGCTGGACATCGTCTGGTGCTATTTCCACTTGGGACAGCTGGATTGCCTTGATGATGCTGAGAAGAAGCTTCGAGCCGCCCGTGATTGCTTCAACAAGTGCTATGGAGAGAACCATGAGCGGCTTGTCACAATAAAGGTAGGCACAAGAGCCTGGGTTGTTCACATCAGTATGTCCATTTCTTTCTGGGTTTTATTGACTTGTCTTTCCCAGTTATAACATCCTGCTGTTGGGGGGGGGGGTTCCAGCCTGTCCCCGTGTAACTGGTTCTGCTGGCTATTCAGGACTGCCCCTTGCCTTTCCTTTAAAAATGGACTATTCTCCCAAGAGTTAAAGGTGTACCACCAGAAGGCTAATGTATATAGAGCAGGGGCCTCAAACTCAATTTATCTGGGGGCCACTGGAGGCAGAGTCTGGGTGAGGCTGGGCCACATCAGATTTTGCGCCAAGTGGAGCAAGAGCCTGAGGAAGCTGCCCAGGAGTTGAGAGAGCCGGCAAGATAGGCGAGGATTTTTTTTTACTCTTGACAGCAGAGGACGCGTAGGCACTTTGGGGGGGCAGGCAAGGCGGGGGCCGCAAACTATCATTCGCCGGGCCGCAAATGGCCCCCGGGCCGCATGTTTGAGACCCCTGGTATAGAGAAAATTTATAGATTCCAGGACTGTTTCCATAAGGTCATTTGCCTATCCAGCATTACATTTTTACGCACCCTAAAACACTGGAACAGCCCCAAGAATCACAATTGAATCACAATCTGCAAAAAATTAACCAGTTGTAGCTGTTCGGGATATTATTTTCCTCACTTCCCAGAGCGGTGGCTGTAAATAAACACAATTTGTTCGGCTTTAAGGCACCATGGAATCTTTTATGATTTCCTAAGAAATGATAGCGTCTTAGGAGCCCTAGCACCAGCTTTGCTTTGGAGGTGGCATTCATTGTTGTTTTTTACCAGCCCGTCCCCGTTGTAGCATACAGAAGGCTAGAGGTTCGTTAGAGCAACATTCCTTCTCATTTTCAGCCCCGCTGGGAGGGGGCGCCACCTCTCGTGTGCGTGACTCCTCCCCTGTGCCTCCGCCCTCCCAGGCGAGTCTACCCCACAGAGGTCCGATGTGAACAGAACCAAAAGGGCTGGAAATTCTCGTCGTGGGTACACAGAGGAGAAGGAACACTGTGCAAAGGGGGGCACAGTCGCGCCCCTTCCGGGGAACCCTGGATGAGAGTGATCTTGAAACCCTGTCAAGGTTCTGACAGATCTGTGTAGATCCTACCGCTCTGGGTGAAATAACATTCTCCCTCCCCGTAGCAACATCGTACATTCAGGCTGCTTTCTGGAGAATCAGGGAGTTTATTAGCTCCCCAGAATATCAAAAGGGGGTGAAGGCACACTCCTGGTAAAGAAGAGTGTTGAAGGTGCAGTTGTGTGTGTGTGGGGGAAACCCTGTTCCATCAGCTTGTAGACTCCCTGAAAGGACTGTGTAAATCATGCTGAGAGGAGCTTCTCACAGGTCTGCACCATCCCATGCTTCACCATCCAAAAAATGTTCTGTTAGATACCGTCCTACTGCACTTAAGGTACACTTTAATTATGCAGGCTGCCCATTGCCACCCTCCCAACAGGTTGGGTATTCAGCGCATGGAGCAAAAACTCTCCGTCCTCACAGCTCCCCAAGCAGTGGTCACAAAGGGGGAGACGGATTTGGGGAGACAGGGACTTGCAAGTTAATGCGTTTGTAATTACTTCTTCTCTTTTCCTTCAGGGAAGTTCTGGAAGAGAGAAGGCATTATTTCTAAGGCTTTATTTACTGGAAGGAATAAGTCATTATCATAATGGCAGAGAAAAAGAAGCTGCTGAGCATCTTCAGAAGGTATGTTTCCTTATTCAGCGTCAGAATCCTTCCCGAAGGCTACAGCCTGAGGTCTCTTTTTCTTCACTCCCTTTAGTAGAAAGTTGTTTGCAGGCCTCGCTCTTTTATCTCTACAGGCGCAGAACTTGTTTCAAGAGTTGTCCATAGATCCTGAGAAGGTCAACAGCTTGCTGCTTCTGGGGTTCTCTGCTCAGGAAGCTCGACTTAGTCTCCGAGCTTGCGATGGAAATGTGGAGCATGCAGCTAGTCATATTTCCAACAGGAGAGAGGTACAGTGTTAGGGGAGGATACCAGGCAGTACTAAAAGTATGCATTTTACATTGTGGGTGATGCACAAGTTAGATTCCACCAGTGGCTTTGATGCTTCTGACTTGTGTGCTGCTGCATAATGAAAGCAAACAGAACTCTTAGATGTCAAGAGTCAGGTGTGTCCTGCAGGGTCCTGCAGAGAGCAGGATCCCACCTTTACTAAGGGCAGGACTGGTTCCAGATGCGAAACATGCATTCTCCCAACAAGCTTCTGGATTATTGTGGTGCTATTTTGTAGGGGGACTTTTTAAAAATAATCCTACTTCAGAGCCACCGGGATAGATGATTTGAAGCCCGTGATTTTAATCAAGTCCTTTCTAAACACAAATGGTGTGTTTGTGCTGAAGTTAAGGACATATTTATCAAAACAGCAAGAGAGATCCAACTCCAGATGAACTAACATAGCCTTTTTTCTTGCTTTGATATTGCAGGAAAAGGCTCAAATAAGGAGAGAAGAGAGAGCCAAGAGGAGAAAGCGATTAGAAGATATCAACTCCTTGAAGAGTATGGGTTACTCTGAGCGAGCTGCGAGAGAAGCTCTTCATGAGGCCAAAGGAAATCTTGAAGAAGCAGTTCAGGTAGATGCTTCCTCAAACTCCTTATTATGTCGGATGAAAACCTGCATTAATTGGAAACACTCTCTCCAGCAGTTGGTTCCTTATATTCTCTGGTCTTCATTGGACAGACAGTATTGCTGCACCTTTAGATTATTAAACATTATTGTTGTTGTTGTTGTTGTTCATGATGATGATGATGATGATGATGATGATGATGATGATGATGATGATGATGATAATAATA